GTATTTTGCTTTCTGCTTAATCCTATTTTATTTGGCTTCTGTCTCACCAGAACATTTGGATCTGTTTCCTGCTGCATCAATTTTAGTAGGGTATTGGTCAGTTAAAAGATCACAGTCATTGTACAGCTATGATGATAACCAGGAAGGGGGGTAAAGACACAGAAACCCTTTTAGGGTGTCAGTTAAGATCTTGAAGATTTTTCTGTAGTAGAGGTCATAACCATGATCAGCTAATGAACAACCAGTGATTCACATATTTCTCCCAAAGTAGTACTTTGATAGTGCCCCATGATTTGTGCAGTGAGTTGCTTTGTAAAGCTTTAAAACCCCCATGATATGCTACCAGCTAAAGGTTTCTATTGATCTTTTATTTTCATTCCCTTTAATGAAAATTTATATGAATTTGTTTTTCTTGTGACTTCTAATGACTGCTAAGAACAAGCTGCTATGGCAGTTCTAATGAAGTGAAAAAAAAAGCCTGGTGTTCTAACACTGCGGTGCTCTCGCAGTGTAGAAACGCTGCCAAGGCGGAGCAAAACCTGAGTGTGACATGTTGATAACATCCTCCCATCAGGTGGTCTTTTCCACTAGTTCTAAAATGTCAAAGAGTCTAAGGAAAATGTCTTTGTTAAGCTCTGAATGACCTACTTTTGGGTATCTGGGAATAACCAGAAGCCAACCCAAACCACAAGAGTGCATCTAATTTTAGCAGCCCTTCATTTTGTGCATGTGAGCTTTTGTGTTCTGCATTTCCAGGAAAAAAAAAAAAAAAAACAACAAAAAAACCCCAAAAAACCACAAACTTATTTCATGCTGAGCCAAAGGCTTTTTTTTTTTGTTTTGTTTTAAATCAGCCCCTTGTTGAGTCATGATCACAGTAAAATCATCCCTCTTGAAATTATTGAGCCCTTATAATTTTCATCTCAATTTTTCTTCAAAAACTAATACTGCGCCCATTCCAAAGGATCTACAGTTGCTGGTCTCTGAAGAAAGCGTCTAAACAACCTATGCTGGAGATAATCTGGGCAGCTGTGTTTTGTGTGTTTCCTTTTTCCCCTTGTTTTTAACTGACCAATAGTAAAAGGGTCAACTTCTTCATAAGAAGTTTCTGCAAATCTTCTACCTCAGTTATACAGGCAATCCAGGAACAGTTAAGGACAAAAAAGGAGTTGTTAGTCTGTCAGTGGGGTGTCTGAGGACACTACAGGTGATGTTGATGGTGGACAAAAGATCTTGGACATAATTCGCATAGAAGAAGCCCTAAACAAGTATTTGACCGTTGATAAGGATATTAGTGCTCTGCAAGATTGTTTGGAAGGAGGCAAGTCCAGACATGGGTGAAGTACTGGCTCCCCAGCTCCCAATACCTAAATCAGACACTGAACACAGTCTCTCTTGCTAGGAGGGACAACATATAATGTTTCATGTATAATGTCGGAGTCCACTGCACTGTTAGACTAAACCATGTGTTCAAATCTCACCCACGCTAGACAGAAATAATACAAACAGAACTAAGACAGGAGATGGTAGGGACCAAGCATTTTGGACACTTATTTGGGACTTCACAAAATAAAAGAGAAATCATAGCCAGCAAAATGCAATGCCATAATGGTAGTAGCACAACAAAACTATTACCAAGTTCTCTGTAGCCAGAGAACCTCCCAGCTGATGGGTTCAACCATAAAAGTAAGCAGCACCCACTGGCAGCTATGAATGGGGTGAACATAGTTTGGGATTGAGCTGAGTATCTGATAATGTGTAGTGTTTCCCCATGTAGTCTGTTGAGTTTGGCAGCAGGTGCCTCTCTTTCGAGGCAAGCCTTGGGCAGTCTGACTGCTGCACCCTCTCAGCCTCAGCCAGGCTTGGCAGGACAAAGAGAGTAATAACCACTCTAAAAGTCCAGCCCTTTGCCATGCTGTGACAAGAGCACTCTTGCCAAGTGCGCAGCGCTTTGAGGGAAAGCAGAGGCAGTTTCCCCCAGTGCCCAGGTAAATGACAGACTAGCACTAGGGTCGTGTTTAGGAACCCAGGGAGGATCGGGCTGTGGCCTGTCCATCCCACCCTTGCTGGCCAGCTCCATCTGCAGAATAACACGGAGCCTACCCACTTGGAGGGCTCCCAAACCACTTGCCTGGAAGCTTTCTTCCCCCTTCCTAAGGCATACAAAGTGAAGTGCAAAGGGTTTTAACCCTTTCAAAAGCCCATCTTGCTTTTTGGTGTTTATTATTGTAACAGCTGTAGAGTTTATCTATGCAGGTGTTCAGTGAGCTGTTTATGGGACTAGCCTCAACAGTGGGGCAAAATTTGTGATGAGGTTATTGTGCTCTCTCTGAAAATACATCCTCATCTCTTAAGTGTCCTGCCTTTCAATATCATTTAACATACTGTTGGCAATGTACCTGTGATCTGTGTTTGAAGAGGCACAGGTAAAATGGGCGGAGTCACTGGGCTGTGAAGAACTTCGTCATGTGAGTTGTATTTTTTAGTAAAGTTGTTTGCCTCATCTCTGAATTTCCCAAGTTTCAAAGGACAACTTAGTCTGGTCATAAAGGTATACAGTTAGGAAAGTTGTTTATGTAAATATTTTTCTCAGACTCAAGCTGTGGTTTTAGAGGCCCACACACGTTCAGTGTTGGATTTGGAGAGGTGTTGAACTGATGATCTGCTGAGGACGAATGGTGACAAAGAGTGAGGATGCAACTACTCTAATCCCCAGTTCACTGATCAGAGACTGGCAAGCTGCGTGCAAGGAGACTGCCATGCCTCTTGGGAGAAGTAACCTTTGTCTCAAAACGAAAAGCAAGACAGTACTTGTACCCGAGCCTCTGAGCAGTTTACGGGGCTCTGTCTGCTGCCTATTTGGTACCACTTGTTGGTATCTTGCACAGCATCTTGATTTCAGGCTGTTTTTTTCAACGTGGCAAATGAAAGGAAAAATAACTTGAAACAAATATTTCCTGTTCTGTGGTATTTAACAATGAAATTGTAAACCACAGAAGGGACCGAGCTTGATCTAAAGGTCTTTGAAGTCAGCAGAACTATTCCAACTGATTTCAATGCACTTTGGGTCAAGGCCACAGGAGGAAGAAAGCAAATGTTTTCTGCCTGAAAAAGTATTAACCATTGGCATTCAAAGAACAATGTAGTCTGATGTGTAAAATATATTCCTTTAAATAAGGCATCAGAAACTTATTAATTTCCATCTGCCTCCTAATAATTTGTCACTAATACACTAAAAAGGAACATGTTTATAGAAGTCATAATCATATACAGAGCAGAAAAAACTCTTAATGCTGTCATTTGGTTCCTATCTTGCTTCCATTCCATTTTGCGTGTATTGTATTTCTCACTAATGTAACGCTGCTTATGCTGCTGATTACGTAAGCACTAAGCACTGTAGTTTTCCAGTTGAATTAAACTTCACTGCACTGATGGCGGTTGACAAAAATATCAAAATGATTATTTTTCTGTACAATTTAGTCTTTAAAACATCACAATTCTTTTTGTAAATGAGAAGAAATAGGTCAGAGATACAGAATTTGGGGGGAAAGAAGAGTTGTTCTGGGAGTAGTGTAGGGGGTGCCACTCCTATCACACAGTCAGTCAAATGGACTGCATGCAGCAGCTGTGTAAGTAAAATCAGCAATAGGTTTGCCTGCAAATTTTGTCTCATGCAGTTATTAAATCCAAGAAAAGGAATCTATCGTCCAGCTGCCTACTGCCCAAGGATGTTGTCCTTCTGAATCAGCAGACCCATCACCATGTCAAAAGGTCATACTCAAGTCTAACACATGACAACAAGCCCATCAGGGTCAATGCATGTCAGGGCCTTCTGGCACACAACAGCAAAGCCTGAGTAGCTGAGCTTGCCTGTACGATAAACTAATACCATCTAATAGCTGTGACCAGCCAGAAAGGAGATCCCAGCCTGGTGAGCTGCCGAAGAAGGTAAGACTGAGTTGCCATAGCCAAACTGTATTTCCTGCGCATGAAGCCAGTAAATCTGCAACAGCTGGAAGATACAGCAAGAGAGGAGGGGAACTGGATTAAAGGTGACACAGAAAACTGAAGGATATGGATTAATGCCATTTTGCAGCCTTCTTTAGTGGTGGCAATGACCAGCCATAATGCATGTTACAGGTGAGAAAAATTGTTCAATGGGGGCTCTCAATTTCAGGATACTTCAGTGAAAGAAACTTCCTCATCTTTCAACATCAGCCCTGGAAATGTCCTCCCACTGTAGGAGCCAGTGCATCATATGGAGATTAGCAGAATTTATTCTAGGTTTCAAAGAGGAGTAACCAGAACAGAGTTAAGAACTCTCTTACCATTTGTAAGAACCATTGTTTACATTCACAGGAAAACCACAAAGCAAGGCAAACATAACATAATTTTAAAAAATGTGTTGGGTTTTTTTTAAAGCATCCAAGATAACAAACATGGTACTGTTTGTACTAAAGTATGGGTACTGCCAACCACAGTACAACAAGAGAGCAGTTCAGCTTGAGTTTAATCCTTGGAAAACCTCCTCCTTCTCCCCTATATTTCTTCCCACTGCAGAGCTGCACTAGTGGGAGTTGCCTAAACACAGGAGAAAAACTCTTACAAAGAAGAAAGGGTTATGAAATCACTTCATTCCCTTTCAGATGAGGATTCTGTGTCCTTCAGGTTGTCAAGCTGGGACGTCATGGTGGTCTCAGGCTGGAAAATCATGTAATCACAAAGGCAGGTTTTCTGAAAGGGTGTCTTACAGAAAACTGAGTTTTCCATGGGAGTTATCTATAAACTTTGGTAAGTGTTTTAGAGCAATTAGAAAAAATGGCATATGGTAAAGCTTTCATATTTTTTATAATATGTTAATGATTAACTGCTCTGCAACTAATCCTACATCTTTGTTGACTTAGTGGGAGAGTGACAAGGAACTGTGAGGTACCTATTTGGTAGCGTAACAAGTCTGACAATCTGCATGGGCATTTTTTTTCCACCTCCTTTCTGGAACTTGCTTCATCCAGCTGACACTGCTTCAAAGCCTTAGGCAACTCTCAGACTCACAGAAGTAAGTCTCCTTTTTTTTTTTAATATGACTTATTTTATGAAGTGCTGATAGAGAACAGATGGAGAAAGATTTAAATATTTATTTGTTTCCTATAAAGAATGTTTTCCCAACTGGGAATTGAAGAATTAGGTTTTCAAGCATTAAATCATAGGGCTATTGCTAAGAAGAGACCTTCTTAATTACTGTGCTGTTGGGTTTTTTTGAACTCCCTTTCTGCTGCAAGACTTAGATTTGAACAAAGGATTTGGTTAGTAAACCACGTCCAGTATAGACCAATAAAGCTGCATCTAGGCAGGATTCAAATGTCAGTTTCAAAATGCATGTGGTGCCTGGCAACATCTAAAGCAAAAATATTTGCTTAAAACATGAAATAAATGGAAATAAATTAATTCCTGCTTACACGAGCTGGGAAAATTAACTTTGTTCATATTTTATATAGGAAGAGTTTATCATGAACTTTCTCTTCAAGGTGGTTACAAGTTGCAGTAGAACTCCTAAAGCAAAGCTGTCTTGCAACAGGCAGACAGGCTGCACATAGGAAGGCTCATACTTCGCTCTTCTATTGTTACATTTTTAAATGTATTTTATTTTAGCTGTACTATCACGTACAAAGAAACAAGCATTGTCTCTGATCCTTTTGGAAATCTCTCCTTTCAACCGCCAATGTCTATGCAGAAAATCTCAGCATCGGGTTGTGCTGGTTGTGTGCTCTCCAATTCCCTCTTCTGTATGCAGCTCCTTATGCGCTGTCAGCACAGGCAACGCTCACTCCTCTTGACCAGGTGCCTGTGCAGCGTGTCCAGGCTGATGATCTGGGTGCTTCAGGTGTTCTTCATTCCTCCCACAGGCACCAGGCAGCATTGGCTCCTGCAGGAGGAATGCTGCCTTTTGGCTGGAAGGTGAATCCTTCTGGGTGACATTTGTGCTCCGAGACTGTATTCAGTGCCCCTCATCTTCCCAGTCATGCATGAGCTCTCTGGGACCTGGGTGTAGTTGCCTTAGTCAGACTTCTGACCCCTTAGCTCTCTTTTCTCTGTGCTGGACACCCAGAGTAAGCAAGCCTTTGGTTTTTCAGGGGCTGTCACTCCTGGCATGTCCCTAAACTGGCTCTAAATGGAGCTCACTTTAAGTCAGAGGCAAAAATCTGTAGAAACTATGATAATATGGGGTCATCTGGGTTCTGGGTCAAGCCTACTGCCATCTCACTGCCTACAAGCCTGCAACATTTCCTTATTTAACAAGAGCTTAAGGTAGGCTCAAGCACAGAAAAATAAATTAGGACCTGAAAAAACATTGAGAAATATACAGAAATTATCAGTTTCTCTTCACCCTACTATCAGAGCAAATCAAACAAAATCTTCTCCTGAAATAGGCAACACCTAATTTTACACACCTAAATTTCAATATATTCTTATTCAATGGAACTAAAGTGAAGATTGCTTTGGTTTACTTGTTTTCAAACACAATGAGAAAGTGGAAGCAGCGGAGTTCGTAACACTGGATATTGGCATTTGGGAGGAATGGGGGACATAAGGTGTGTTAAATCTGGAGATACTCTATAATGACTTTTAAGACTCTATGCCCTACAAGTTTGTCTTTTCTAATTGAAAATGAGTGTGTTAGTGACAGCTGAAACCTAAACATGAGACATCGGTGTTCAAGACTTCATGAATGACAGGCAGACTGTATTCAAGGAAGGGGTCGTAAATGCAGCTAACTTTGTATCTAGGAAAACAGGAGCAAAAGAATTGCCACACTGAGTGTTTGTTTAAACATCTTTTGAAGAAGCTAGGAATAGACTGATTTAGCAGCCCCTGCTGGCAACTCCTGTGGCAGGGGTGACAGCAAGAAGATAACCTTAGAGATAAAGCCACACTTCAACCAGAGCCATGCTGAAACAGTGATTACAGAAGGTTAGAAAGCATTTCTGAAGTTCTCTTTTAGACACATCCGAATTCAAGGGTCTATAGCATTAGTACAGTCGTTGACTATCATGTCAAGGACCATGCAATTTGTGTAAGACTTCCACAATTTCACATGACAAGCCCCAGCCCCATTTCACAATTCCTTACAGCCTCTTTCTGTGTCTGAGCCCTTAGGTTCCAGGTGTTGATTACTGGCCCAACCAGCTCTGCCCAGTGCCTCAGGTCCCAGAGGGGGAAGAGATACTCAGAGGAGATGCTGCTGCTGGGGAATGTATTACCTAGCACATACCAACCTCTAAAGGACTTCTGTTAAATGGCAAGCTCCCTCCATGCCGCTGAAAGCCAGTGCTGTCTGGTCCTCAATCCGTTATATGAAATGATTTATTTAAAGACAAGTCTTGTGGGTAATTGCGTGGTTGGGGGCACTCTCTTATGCAACCCTACAAGTTGGACATCAGCCCCTGGCACAGGCTCTCACCCCATGAGGGAGTCAGACCCAGTAACCTGAAAGGCCCAATTATATTTAAATGCACTAATGAAGAAATTATGCCAGCCTTTTTTTCCTTCATTTACTTGTAGTTTTTTTTAAATCTTTGTTTCAGGAGCTTAAGGCAGGTTGAGTTTTAGAAAGCAGATCTGAAACCCAGCTGATGCATACCAACTGCTGAATGTAATTAAAACAGCTTTTCAAAGGACCCAGTATTAATTCCAGAAGTGAAATGTATTTGGTGGCATTTAGGTTTCTCTGCTATGAGTACTAATATCATAGCCGCAGACTTTTGTCACTAGCAACTACAGGAAGCAAAATAAGTGTTGACAAAATTTCAAGTGTAGCTCCATTTCTGTTTGCTCCTGCTGCTGAGAACTTCAGGAGGTGAGACTGTGGCCACAAAGAACTGACCTTTACCTCTTCAACTGCAGCATTTCATTTTAGTCTTTTTAAAGGTAGGCCTGATGCACAGATGACTCAAAAAACCCTCTACGAAGCCACCTGGCAGTTAAGAGAGCAGCTTCCTTCCATTTTTTCTCCTAGAAGCAAGCTTGCAGCTGTAGGAAAGTCAACACAGCTCCCAGGTATCCTCATCTGTTTCTTGTAACTAAGAGGGGGAAGTCCTGTCTCATTCCATCCCTGAGGCATATGGCCAATGGCTCAGCAGGCTTTTCACAAACAGCTACTCACTGTGCAATGCTTGATTCAAATAAAAATAAGTAATAAAGACAAAAAGATCCTTCAAGTTTCTATATTTGGATGAATGCACTAGCATGTATCACCTTCTACCATTAGCGTCTGTCTTTTCTGTGCAAATCCCCAAAGTTTACATTTTGCTTTTACTCAGGTAGGGTGTCTAGCTAAAAATACATCCATGAGGGAAAGCCCTTCCAAATGAAGGAAATTAAAGATGTATAAAGAGAGAAAATGACAGTGAGGGACTATCAGATGAGAAGCTTGTGGAAACAGGTCTCCTTTTTTAGCTAATGTTCCTAGACTTTGCAAAGACTGTCCCCAAAAGCTGCTGGAATGTTTGCTGGTATGGACTGAATCGATTTTAAATTAAAATGTTAATGAAACCATGGGACACCAAGAGATGGAACTGTAGCTTCCTCTTAACACATTTCTCTTGCTTCTTTGGGTGAAAAGGGTTTTCAGTCATGATTTTCGTCCACTGGCACACACACCAAATAGACCCAGCTTGTTCCTCGTGGCAGGATTGCCTTTGTAGGCTACTTTCATCCCATGAAATAGCTGGCATGCAAACTTTGAGTGCTGAAATCTGCAGCCCTGTGTGAGCTTCTAATCAAGAACTACATGCCTGTAACACCAAATAATTATTCAGAACACACAGAACACACACAGCCTGTAGCTGACTGACTATGAGTTCATTTGCCATAGGAAATTTCATATAGCGATCATGTTACATCATTTTATTATTCAGACCATATAGGTAACCTTACTATACTAATTAAATTAGTTCAAAATATTTTTATAAATACTAAAGCATGAAACCAGCCAATAGGTTATACCAATGCTGACTCCGCTAGCACAGTCTGCCATATGAGCTGGGCTTTGAACTGTATTTAAAACATCACTCTAAACATGCAGGGACTGAACTTTCACATTTTTCTCTCGGAAGACTGGAAAGGGCATTTGCACAGGGACCAACAGTTTTTATGAAAACAAATAATTTCTTCACTTTCTTATGTGATGGCAAGTTAGTGATGAATCAAATTCTTCCTTTCCAAAGGTGATGCCTCTCTCTTTGAAATCTACAGGAAAGGCCCTGCTGGTCTCAGAGCCCAGTTGGGCGCCTGCATCCCCTCCCACAGATGGAGCCTTGCACAGGGACCCCCAGCCCACAGGCGGCTCCCCGAGACCACCTGCTGAGGCGGGAAGTCAGCCTCGGCTGTGGAAGGGGATTCTGAAGCCTGCCAGGGCGGTGAGGCCCTGCCATGTGCAGAGCCCTGTCCTTCATCTTTCTACGAGGAGTCTCAGTTTCTCAGTTCATCTCCCTTTCCCTTTCCCTTTCCCTTTCCCTTTCCCTCTCCCCCTTTCCCTTTCCCTTTCCCTTTCCCCTTCCCCTCTCCCTCTCCCTCTCCCTTTCCCTTTCCCTTCTTTCCCCCGTCCTCGAGGTCTCACAGCAAGTGAGCCACCGAGATGGGCGAAATCCTGGAGGGAGACGCCCTCTGCAGCTCACTCCCGGTTTTATTTGGCATCTGCAGGCGAAATGTCTCGGGTTTTTTGGAAATGCTTGCCACAGTTGTCCTGAAAAACAAACGTTCTCTCGCTACATTTGGGGGAAAACGAGTTTCCCTGATGCCCTTTGCCCGTTGGCAAGCACACAGCGTGACCTTGGCTGGTGCCGCGGTGGGACCACCTCGGTGGGACACCCGGTCCCACAGCGTGCCCAAGGTGCCAGAGATACTGTGACTTGTGTCAGAAAGATCAGGCTTAAGGTTTGTGTCAGAAACTTGAGACAAATATGGTCTTATCCAAAGTCTTCCCTTGAAATCAATGCCTCCGGCAAGGGGTATGTATCTGTTCCCATTTGATAATACCATCAACACCTATAGTGTGTTTATTAAATATTCATAATGATAGAGACTGGAATCAGGAACCAGACCTTTGTTTTCACTTAGACATGTTTTCATATGGTAAGCAAATTCCTGTAGCTACTTCACCTTAATATCTTGTTCCTTATTTTCTTACTGAATATTAATACCAAGAGGTCATAAGTACAGGCTTCTGTCTGTTTTTCCAAAACAGGCAAGTTTGAGAACTGTAATCCAGTTTCATAACTGATCTCAAAAGTACTTCTTTTCCACCTTGATTTTTCTCTAAGTCACTGATACAAGATTAGATCAAATAAGTTCCAGTGGGCAGGGTGTGGAGAAATGAGCCAAAATGAATCATTACCTACATAAGCAATTTTTTGTGTCTAGACACTTGGTCCCTCATGTAAAGCCCATGTTTGTTAGCTGGATATTCTCCAATGTTTTCAGAATTTTTGTATAAGCCTTGAATTCTTTCATCCTGCATGTATTCTTGTTCTGTGTTTTTTGTGAATCTCATAAAAAAAAAACAAACAAAAAACAAAAAAAAAAACAAAACTTTTCCTATTTTTTAGTTTTATGATTCAATTCTGGACACCAATCTAAGTAGCTTAGCACAGGAAGGTTTGATAAGAGGGCTCAGTAATCACAGGTACAATCTAATTTAATTCTGTGAGCAGATGCAGTGCATAAATGCAATTCATGCAGATATACACTGGTACCATAATCTGAATGGCTCTCAGTGACATGGATCGGCCTGCTTGCCTATCTTTTATGACCTTGATATCAGCAAGTCGTTTAAATTAATGTGTATGATGTATACAAAAAGTGTTACAGAAGTATGTGCTCTGCACAAAATGGTATTTTAATATGGTTCAGGCTTGGCTTCTGTGTGCTCAGCTGATTCAAACAGAAGCAGAAGGGGGTCAGCACAGGACTCCTTTGATTGTGCTCTTTTCTGTCTAGCATCTTCCCATCACTAGACATGTACAGAAACAACTTTATTTTGATATGGAACTGGGACAAAAGGAAAACCATTCATAATGTCCTGTTGGGCTACTATGCTGTATGGCTGGTACCAACTGTTAATTAGTTAGAGGGTTTTATAATCAAATTGTAAACAAAATAGCAGCTTGAGAAAGCCTTTATAAATTGGTTTTGTTTTAAGTAGATAAAAACACAGTAGGCTATTCCAGAGCAATTTCCTCCATGCAGGAAAGGATTAAATGTACGTTTGCAATAATAGAGATAAATATGTCCCACAGGAAATCAGTCCTATCGGAGATACATAGATGAATTGGAAAGCCAAAATGATAAATTGCAGATGTTACTGTGTTTGGTTGGCATCATAAACCACTCTGTCCCATCCTCTTATCACTGCTATCAGCTTCAGGACTGAAGTAAATATATAGTAGGGACCAGTATAAAAAGATGGACAGTGTTTGCTTAAGTCCACATTGTTATGAAGATATTTTTTATTTCAGATTTCCACAGATGGATTTTTGCAACTAGGTTGTATCACCGATTAAATTTGTTAGTTTAAGATAAGTAAATAGAAATTTGCTTTAGTAACAAAACGTATTTGCAGATCTATCTCCTTATTATGCGAGTGGACTTGGTACGGTATTTCTTCAGTCTTGAATTCAATAGGAGCAGGATAAAAGATATTTTATATAACTTATAAAGTACCCTAGAACCTCTCATATCTACATAATAAATTCAAGGCCATATCTTCTCTTATCACACATAATTCCTATAATTGTTCAGAAGGTTGTATGACAGATGTGGGAAATTAACAGATTCTTTTAAAAATTAGAATAAAGCCCTAATTTGCACTCAGAATGTACGGTCAACAAACAAACCTATAATCTTCTGCTCGCTAAATGACTATAATCTTTTCCACCACAGTATTGGGATGATTTGAACTGGAGAAGTTGGGCAGATTATGAACAAGTGTGATTTGTGAAGGTAAAACACTAAAGAGAACTTGGTTAAAGTCTGAGGGTGGGAAAGCAATGGCAGAACATCCAGACTCCAGCCCATGCACTAAGCGTTATATTTCTGATTAATTCAAGTATTTCTGCTAATGCATGCACAGTTAAATAATATAAAAATGGTCAAAGTTCAGTGGTCATTATTAGACTTTATGGCCTGGATTTGCTCATGCCTCCAAACTATGGCGTTTTGTAATGCTGGTCTCAGCAACTCTCAGTAAGGGCAGCACAAAAGCAGAATTCTGTTCAGGTTGGGCTGCTGCACTGAAAACACATCTGCTAGGGGAGAAGAACGTGACTTCTACGGCTGCTCTGTAGGATCTCTTGCAACAGTCAGGATCCTGAGGATTTTGTTAGGTTTAGTTGCTACTAGCTGGTAACACTAGGGCTCCTGATAACATGTAATGTGTATAACGACATTTGAACATAACAGTTAATTACCAAGGAAGAAAATAACTTGGAAAAAGACATGAATTTTCCTTTTGTGAACATAAAAAGGCTGTTGTAATAGGAGCTAATCAGAGATCCTTTCTTCTTCTTGTGATATAATGACATATACAGAACTAAAACCTAGATTTATCTATGAACGTTAAACTTCAACAGTTCATTACATTTGGGGAAAGATGACTACCACCCTCCCTCTGTAAACATACTCTCTCCTGCTTTTTCTTTTTCACTGCCTAGTTCACCTATTCATTCAAATAATAATTGCCTTTGTAATCTTATACTGTTTTTCTTTCCAGTGCCTCTCTCTCTTCACACAGTAACCGTGTCTGCGACAGCATAGGAGACCTCCAGAGGATGAGTTCCCTGGTGGGCACCTCACACCTACAGCTAGCCGCCTTTGCTCTGGGTACGGTAGGCTGGATCCTCTGCACCATTTCAATGGGAATCGTGGAATGGAGAGTGTGGCATGTGGACAACACCACCATCATTTCCTCTGGCATTGCCTGGGTGGGGATTTGGAAAGTCTGCTTCATCAGTTATCTTCATGTCTCACCTGGCTATGAAGAACAGTTCTGCCATAAATTCAGTGGCTATGACTCCTCCATCCCCCATGAAATTTATGCTGCCCAGGGTCTCCTGTTGATTGCCATGTTCATGGGCTTGCTCGGATTGACTGCTACAATATTTGCTCTGAGAAATGTTTACATGGGGATCACTGACAAAACTCTCATTACGCGTTTTTTCCTGGTGGGTGGCTTCTTCTATGTATTTTCTAGTCTGTGCATCCTGATTCCCGTGAGCTGGAATTTCTATTCTGTAACACACAACCAGAGCATTGCTTTTCCTCCTTCTTACTACATGCCCTCCAGCCCAGCAGTGCAGGAAGCTGGTGCTGCCATTCCTATTGGGATTGTAGCTGTCATCCTTCTGCTGCTAAGTGGGACTTTTTCTCTCTCGTACAGATTTCCGGTGACTGTGAACACTACCATGAAATCCTGACAGGATAAATTCCTCCCATGCTGTTTCAGAACAAGAGCAGTCAAGGGTTAAGGTCAGCAGCATGAGTGAGTTTATAATCAAGGAACTGCAGAATTTAGTCTATAGTAACCACACTATTTTGTTATATGAACCAACTGAATTACCATCTTGTCACATATGACCAGCAGTTGATCTTTGGCATAATTGCTGTTGAGCAGCAACTATGATAAAACTTTTGCTATTTGTCCTCTTTTGTAGATACAAACGTCATTGATCATTTTTTGTGTAAGATATTTACCACGCTCAAAGAGCTGGTGCTGAATGAACTGTTCTGTTAGAAAAAATGTGAAATAACACGTGTTAAATATGAACTTGTTTCCTTGTTGGTACTAAACTATTTTATCCATTATTTAATTACGTCTGTAATAAAGTATGTTTTGTGACAAGCCAAAACTTTTAATACCAATGGTATGAGTGTCATCATGGCTGTGTCAAATGAGTCTTCCCTGAATTGTCTTGCAAAGGTCTTGCCAGTTTCTCCTCTTCCTCTAGGGCACATAAAGAACCGTGTCTTTAATGTTTTGGTTTTTTTTTCTTTCAAGCCATTTGCATTTTATGTTGCAACACATTTGCCTGCAGGCAAGGTGCGCTCCTAGTTTGTCAGGCACCCAAAATGTCTGCAAGTGTTTGATTCTTCATCAGATGATTCACCTGCTCCAAAAGTATTGCAAAAGATGGAAACAACTTCTAAAGTTATTACAAAACTGCTGTCAAAATCGGTGCTGTAAGTAACCAGGAATATTCAGTACAACATTCAGGGTATGATTGATTTGACCTGATGTAGACAGCTATACCTAAACCAGTCACTCCAGGCTCCATTTACAGTCAGTGTAGAGACAAAGACAGTCTTTTTCCAAAATAGATGCCTAGAATGGCTGGGAGATGTCATGCTCCCTAAAAACCTGTTTCACTTAACCCACTGTAATGGCTGTAATAACTACAGTTGCTAATGCTGGTGTACACAAACAAACTTCACCTAAGCTAGATAAAGTTAGGTGAAATGAATCTGTCATTTAAATGGCATTTTGTATGTCAGTGCTATTAAAAAAAAAAAAAAATGTCCCAAACACTGCAATAAGGGCAAATAAATAAAGAAATTAAGAGCTTGGGAGAAATGAGTAAACAGTGTTGTCTAACTGTTTGCTAGTTCAAAACAAAAGTCCTGAAAAGAAGTTCCTCAAAAAGTTATTACACTTTTAAAGAAATGCTGCAGGAATCTAAGTCATTTAGTTGTACTCTTTTATCCTCCATTTTCTAAAATACTCATGGATTCAGAGAAAGAAGAAAAGAAAACGTAATGAAAATTTAATCATTCTTGAACATTACAAGAAAAGGTAAAATGCCAGCAAACCAGATCTTACTGCTTGTAGCTGCTATTACCTCAACTTGTCCTAGCAGTCCAATTTGTCCTCCACATCTTCTACATGGTCTTGACTTTGCTGGACTGTCTATACAGAATGTCTACATCACCTTCATTCCCTCTTCAGTCTTCCAGTCTCTTCTGAAGGAGCAGCTTGTAACATCATTGGTGGGGGTTTTTTAATCTGCTGCAAGGATTTATCTTTTGACTGTTTACAATGCTGTAAAGCACTTTCAAGTGGTGTTTCAATGAAGGCAAGTGATTTAATAGTTTGTTTATCATGTACTGTTTCTAGCTTGACTTCTACTATACATCCTTTACAAGGTTGGTAGGTTGTGTTTTAAAATGTACAAGTCAATAGAACTGTTACTGCTTCCCACAGGGCCTACAATGATAATAGATGTGATCTTATTGTAGTTGTAAAGAAAAAAAAAATCTATCCATGTGTTTATCTCAGCATTTCCCCACTCTAATTAACCACCAATATTCCCTGGCAATGAATTTGAACTTTAACAGAAAATGACTGATTCTTCAACTTTTTTTTGAGTTCATATATGCACAAAAATGTCAGTAACCCCAACTGTATTTGTTAGCTATATTCCCTAAATGATTGGGCTTGATTTACATTTATTCTTCTTGGCTAAAACAAAAAGGAACAAACCACATCAGACACATGTCAAGTTTCTGTGTTGCTGCCGCAGCTGTTTCCACCAGTGATTATGTTCATCTGTCCTGACGTGTGGCTAGGAAACACTGTCAAATGTAGGCTAGATGGTGAGGAAATTCCCCAGCTAAACACTGGAATAGATTACCTAAGGAGATGGGTGGGTTTTTAAAACAACATTTTATCAAAATCAAGTTTGGACAAATCGCCATGAAGACTGTAGGTATGAGTGACCCTACCTGAGGACAGAGGGGTGGTCTAGATGGAGCTCTTGGCATCCTTCCCCACTGTACTTCTAGGTCTCTAATACAGGAGTCTATCGGTAGTCACATGGTCCAGATTATATGCTGATATACGATAAAACCTAGTCTATGGTCAAATACCAGGCTATGTTAAAACTCCCAGACCTTCCCTGAAGAAAAGATAAGAGAAAAAAACTCTTAGCTCAAAACAAGACACAGGCAAAGCTTCCACTGATTTCAACGGGATCAAGCCTGTCTAACCTTGATTCCTCAAGTCTGTGTGATTCATTAAATTGTAGTGAATGTTTGCATTCATTAAGATTTTGGTATTGGTAGAAAATAAAGCTCCCATGTTTTTACTTCACCAGTGAGGAAACATAGTCTCTTTGTGCATATTTTCATGACATACTCGTTTTAGAATTTGAGAAGCTAAGTTACCTTTCAGTAAGTCAGTTTGTTACCATGTCAGTTGTGCTTCTATACCTATTTTTAGGGTTGTATGCAAAATCAGGCAGCTGAAATTATTTCAATTTAAAACTCAAAAATGCAAAACTTTTTTGGAAAGCTATTTTTTAACTTAGATTGCTTTAGAGACCTACACTACAGCCTGGCTCCACGATCATTTGTAGTAGCACAGTTGAGGACAGGCAGCAAGCTGTAATGCAGACAGGAGCGAGTGGTCAGGGCCTTGAGGTAGAGAGATAAGCAGCAAGAACCTCTTAAGCACATTTCCCCACTGAAGAGATCATATCGTGAAGCTCTGTCTCCAGCTTCCGTGCAAACTGGGACCTGCTGCCTCCCCAGTGACAGCAGTGCTCGCCTTGTGGGCTCCACCCTGTCTAGGAATGTCTCCACACTGGGCTCTGTCTACACATAAACTAGCCTCACTTTATTTTTTCTGAGTTGATAATAAACAAGTATCTTGTGATTCACTCACATGTCTGAATTCACTGCTGGGGGAATGATCTGAATACCAAGACTCCCTTTGAGTTCTGCTGGGTATCTAGGCATAACGATAAAGCACACATCTTTGACCTCCATATAAAATGCTCTTTTGCATTAATCTATCACATGATGCATTTTGTTAGCCTTATTTACACGTATCATCTACCTCACCTGTCCATTCATGGCCGCAGATCAAAATATGCATGAATATACATTCAGTATTCCTCTCAAATATCGATGCTCAAATAGTGGATGGAGCTAAAGAGTGCCTAATAGTAAAACAGGCCAGTAGTGTCAAGCCTACTGAGATTTTCTCCCTGGGTGAATATGCAATTTTGATCAACATCATTTGTGTTCAGGTAAAGGAAGAGGGAGGAACTGCAGACATTGTACTGCAGAGTAGATCATCAAATTAGTCAGGTTAAGTCAGAAAACAGAATTTTTATTCAAGTCAGCAGTTTTAAATGAAGACAGCCTTAATTGCCAATTTAGCTGATTAAAAACAACACTAGGCTCAGAAAGAAATGTCTTTGTTGTCACATGGCTTATGGTATATTACAATGATGAGAGGGTGTTTTTCAGGAGAGAGCTATTTTTAGACCTTGGACCATTTTTCCCTTAGAATGGAAAAACTGAAATGTCACAGGCAATTTCCTGCTCTTTAGGCCATTAAAATACTTCAGGACAAAGAGTTTTTGCTTAAAAAATGTAAGTCTGGCTGGCATAGTGTTTAAAAGCAAATTGTTTTCTTAAAATAGGAAACCAGTGTACATTAAATTAAAGGTTCCCAGAAGAGACATGTTCTCTGTGAAAATATACCTTTTTCAAAATTGAACTGGGATTCCTTTCATTTTTACCAACATCTGTGTTGTCAGATCCAGTAATGGCTCATAAAAACATATTTTTCTACTGACACATTTCCTTTTCCACTACTCAAATAATTTACTCTATTTCCCTTGCTTGAGAGAGGTGAGATCGTTCAATAATCATCACGGTGGTTCGGAGTGTATTGGCTCTCAGTTACTGTGTCAAAACCAATTATACACCAGTCAAGAAAATGTAAGTGAATCTCATCTCAGAATTATAAACCCAATAAATACCAAGTCATAATTGGGAATGGGGTAGAGTATGCACTGTTAAGACATAACTGACAGAACAACACATCACCCCCTTTCTCTTGGGATATATGTGGAAAAGACCAAGTACGAGGTTAATTCCAAGCATTATATTTTGAAGAAACATATACACTCTGACTGTCCAGATTACTGCACATGCAGGCTGATTTTCAGCAGCTGTATATGCAGACCCATTATGGTATAAACTGGGATAGATAAAAAAATAGATCTCACTTTAAATTAACATTGCCAAAATATTACCAGGTGCCTGAGATCAGCTGATGAGAACAATTTGTATCTGCCCACCCAGCCTGCCCCACATGGCCTTAGAAAAGACATTGCAAGTAGCAGAGAAAGCATAGGAGAAACTGAAAACTAGAGGCATTGCACCCACTATGCAGGTGTATCACAGCTGCTGGCTGACTGAAATTGAGGGGGGGAAACCCCTAGCAAAACAGAAGTGCTAAAAATCCCTGAAGGCTACAGAACTGGAAATGAAGCACTCACAGCATGGGGAAGAGATTGGAAATAACAGTGTTATTACTGAATAGCAGTTTGAGGGTATGGGAACAAAACTAGCCAATATGGAGATGTTCCATCTATCTCCAAAAGAACTGTGTAATATCCAGTAGCTAGGCATGGCCAATAAAAAAGGACCAGATCTTGGGGTGACTTTGAAATCACTTAAAGCCAGATTTCTAGTGATTTGTCCATATAAAGTTGTGGCCATCCACTTACTGGACTTTCAGAAGTCCTGCTGAAAAGCTTAAGCTATCCATATGCAACTTTCAGAATAATTGAGCTGAGCTTAAATAAACCTGAGCTTTAGTATTCCAAATATGCATAAAAACTGATGCGTAGTCTTTCTGTACGACAGCTTTCCATTTGTAAAATAAAGATAGTAG